ACAGGATCTTAGAAGCAACTCATCAGGCAAAGAAAATCTCATACATAAAAGAACATTTTTTCTTCAAATAACTTTTTTAAAAAATTAAATTAAAAATCAAGGGATACGGATGTAGCTCAGTGGTAGAGTGTTTGCCCTGCACATGCAAGGCCCCAATCCTCAGGACTATAAAAATAAACAAACAAAAAATAAATAAATAGAAAACCAACTATTGTTTATCTGTACAAGGGGTTGGATCCCAGGGCACTTTACCACTGAGTTACATCACCAGCACTTTTTATTTTTTTTATTTTGAGACAGGGCCTCACTAAGTTGTTGAGGTTGGCCTTGAACTTGCAATCCTGCCTCAGCCTCCTGAGTCACTGTGCCTCACTGGACAAAAGTGGCACTAACTTTGATAACAAGAGTAAATCAACCATAACAAGAATGACTGAATACACCCATCTTTATAGCTGTACATCTATTATAAAAAATCCTAAATCATTTAGTGCCTTTTAAAAAATAATCAAAAATATCAAGTCATACTGAGAAAGACGAGTCAGCACTGAAGATCCACAGTGTCTATGAATCCTGAGATTCCCCTGTAGGAGAAGCTACTCTAAGTCAACAGACAAAAGGGTTGGAATGGAAGCTAGTATGCAAGCTCCAGGTGGGTAGAGAAATTTTTTTTTGCTTTTATTTTCTTTACTGCGTTGTTTCCAATTCCTACAAGACAGAACATAGTAAATGTTCAATTAATACTGCAAGATAAATGGCTGTCCAGAAAGGTCCTTTCCAAAGTTGGCAGCAAACCATACAAAGAATATTCCAGCTTTGGCACCTCTCAGTCGGAGAGGGCACTATGACTCTCTGGCCTGCACTGAGGTCTTTGCAATGTTCTGATGCAGATACAAACCACAGTGCTTCTCAATGAAGAAGAGTGGCCTAAACTTTTTTGCAAATCTTTTTTACTGTCTAAAATTAATTAAGAAAGACTGCTGGATTCTCCTCTGCTTCTGCATCTATTGAGTTTCATTTTAGATAGCCTTTGGAAAACTCCTTGCAAACTCCTGTGTAAATGAAGGGAAGAAAAGCAAATAATATTTTAATGAAAAATGGTTTTGACCTTATCAGACCCTGAAAGAACTGCCTTAGTCCTTGAATTAAGAAGTTAAGAGCCATAACTTTGATCAACATTCAGAAATTTTCAAACAAGGGAAGGGGATTAAAAAAAAAAAAACAGACGAAAACATCACTCACTACATGAAGCCACACTTATAAGAAGGCCAGGACATTTTAGCAGTGGTACTTGTCACTTTAAATATCACTTATTCTTTGTACATTAACAATAATTTCATCAGGAAGTGAATTTTGCTATTTGAAGAGGGGGAAAAAAAAAAAAAAGCCAATGCTTCAGCCTGACAAGACAGACCCCAGCACAAGAGCTACATATTATAACTCCTTCCAGTGGTGTATAAATGTCAATTGTTAAGGTACATTTACCTTTTAGACCATCACTTAAAAGTGACATTCTAATTATAAGACCCATAAGTCACCTTTCTCCAGGCTTTTCTCTGGCACCACTTCCTGCTGTCAATCAAATATTATTTAACAGGACAAAAGAGCAATTTCCCATTACCAATCAGTTCCAAACTGCTCCACAGTTCAGTCTTTCAGTCTGCGTGTTTCTATGAATAGCAGCTAAATGGTAATCCACAAATCAACGCCCAAATCCCCTCTAAACAGATGTTCTTCAGCTAGTTCAGGTGATTTCCATTTACTACAAACAACTCATCCTGCAGCAAAATAGCTGTATTCAAATAAGGTCAAGAAAAATAATTATTCAATAAATGTTCATAAATAACTGCTTCATGCTGTTATTTTCCCTGTATCTAAGAAGTTAACACGCTTTCAAAAGTTCTTCCCCAGGGCTGGGCTGGGCTGGGGTTCAGGGGTAGAGCACTTGCCTAGTATGTGTGAGGCACTGGGTTCGATTTTCAGTACCACATATAAATAAATAAATAAAGTTCCAACAACTAACAAAATATTAAAAAAAAAAAAAAAAAGTTCTTCCCACAGGCAGGCAAAAACAAATTAGATCTTTTAAAAAATTACTTATGGTGGCTTTTTCAGGAGATATTTGGCCTTCATGTCTTATTAAACTCACACCCTTTAGCAAACTTTATTAACTAGGCCAGTACTCTCTTGATCAACAGCACAGGCCTTGGTGGGAATCCTAAGTCGCCACTTAGATTGCAACTCTGGGAAAATTACTTATTCCGCACCTCACTTTTCTCAGATTTACTTTTTAAATTTATTATTGTTGTTGTTGTTATTATTTGGTACTGGAGATTGAGCCCATCCCTTTTCATTTTTTTAAATTTTGAGACTGGGTCTCATTAAATTGCTGAGGTTGGCCTCATACTTGTGATCCTCCTGTCTCAGCTCCCAAATCAATGGGATAATAGAGTGCACCACCATGCCCAGCTTTTCTAGGCTTTAAAATGAAGATAATAATAGTATCTACCACTTAAATGGATGAAAGGATTAAGTGAAATGATGAATAAATGAGTAAGGCGCTTAAAACATTGCTTGATACACAACTCAGTAAATGTTGGCTCTTGTCTATATGTACTAGCCTATTAAAACAACCTCACTATAGTCACAGCAGATAGAATAAGTCCATAATAATTAATAGAGCCCCAGGATAATGCAACGGGGAAATACCAAAAAAGAGGGAAATACTTTAAAAAGCTTACTGAGGTGCCTTCCTTCTCCAGACGGGCAACTGTCAGTACCACTTATGAAAATGCTGACAAGCCATGGGAAAGGCAGCAAAGATATCTGCAAAGTTACTACTATTCTATGAAACAAGAAAAAAAGAGGCTCAAGAGGCTGAGTCAGGAAGATCATTGGTTTAAAGACAGCCTCAGCAAATCAGTGAGGCCCTAAGCAACTTGGCAAGGTCCTGTCTCTAAATATAAAAAAGGGCTGGGGATATGGCTCAGTGGTTAAGCACCTGAGTTTAATCCCTGGTACAAAATAAGAAAAAAGAAAAAGAAAAATTCAAGAAAACTTGTCTTTGCAAGTAGACTGATGGACACTTAACAGAAAACTTGCTATAGCTATCTAGAAATAAGAGAACTGTGGGCCAAGTGTGGTAGCACACGCCTGTAATCTCAACAACTAGGGAAAATGAGGAAGGAGGATTGCAAGTTCAAGGACAATCTGGGCAACTTGGTACAATCCTGTCTCAAAATAAACATAAAAAAAAGGGCTGTGGAGGGCACTGGGGTTGTGGCTCAGTGGTAGAACGTTTGCCTAGCATGTGCGAGGCGCTGGGTTCGATCCTCAGCACCACATAAAAATACATAAAATAAAGGCATTGTGTCCATCTACAAATGAAAAAAAAAATTTAAAAAAAAGGGCTAGGGAACCAGGGGTTGTAGCTCAGTGGTAGAGCATTTACTTTGCACGTGTGAGAAACTGGGTTTGATACTCAGCACCACGTAAAAAGTAAGTAAGTAAATAAATAAATAAATAAAAATAAAGATATTGTGTCCATATACAACCAAATATATATATATATATATATATATATATATATACATATATATATGTATGTGTGTGTGTGTGTGTGTGTATTTTTTTAAAAAAGGCTGGGGATATACTTATAGGTAGAACATCACTGTGAGTTGAATCTCCAGTACTACAAAAAATAAAAATAAAAATTTTAAAAAGAAAGAAATAGAAATCAGAGAACTGTGCATTCTGCTTTGAAACAGATACTTTTGCAGGCAACATAAAATTATTGTAGGCTGAAGGTGGTTGTCTATTCATACATACCTGTATGTATCACCTATACCGTAAGATATGCAGTAAGAGTTCCAGGTGATGTGATTCTGCAATCTGGGTATGGGGTAAAGGTGGGAGTTCATAACCCACTTGAATCAAAGTGTGGAATATGATATGTCAAGAAATTTGTAATGTTTTGAACAACCCACAATAAAAAATTTAAAAAAAAAAAAAAAGAGTTCCAGGTATATAACTCTATTCTCAGACAGAGTCTAGCAGCATACTCTGAGAGAAATGAAACTTAAAGCCAAAAAGAAAATTTTCATGAAAGTCTTTGCCACCAGGATTAACCTTATCCAGAGATGATGTAACTGGTGGAGTTTATCAGAGAAAGAGTCATGTGTGGATGACTGATACATAAAATTACTAACCGGGACACATATGAAAATTCTAGCTACCATTTACTAAACACTATGTGCCAGGCCTTCTTTTTTAAGTTTTTTATAAGGATTAACTAATTAATTCTTAATATTGCTATAAGATAGGCATTTTATTGTTTCTACCTTAAAGCTAATGACTGAGGTACAGAGAGAGATTAACTTGCCCAGATGTCAAGTTAACAGTGGCTGGTCCTCTCTGGCAGGGGACTGTGATTCACATAGAGAGTTTTGGTTATCTATGACACTGAAATTTTTGACAATAAGAATGTAAGGACTTGTATAATTAGAATTTTTTATATCTCATAACCTTAGTCAGACTTTTTATTGGGCTTTCTGTGGAATTCTATTTGACTACCACCTGACACACATCTGCACTTGCTCACATGAGCAAGACCCCCATGGTGAGCCTAATATCAGAGCAGCTGGCAGCTCTTGGAGAAGAAGAAGGGGTGGATAATTACTCTTGACAGGTCATGACAGACACAGTCTCTATCCAACCACCAATAAACTTCAAAAACTACCCTAGACTCCGTAAGTTTGCCAGTCTCCAGATTCCAGTTTATGTCAAATATGGCTGTGTCCCCTCTTAGCTTAAGTTAATTCAGGGCATTGAAAAATAAACAAGTTTACAATGGAAGCAGGTAGTAAAAGTTCAGAATAGGGATGAAACAAAGATTGTGATTGGTCATTTACCCTAATTGGATTGCAATATTACAGACTGGCCATGCATAATCCTATTATGAACACTTTTCATTAATAAGGTTTTATTATAGTTTTATTTCTTACCCATTAAAAAAGGTTTTTTCATCTTCTTCCATATTATTCCACAGTCATTGGTTAGGTTTCCTCTTCTCTATTACCTATGATGGAAATAATCTGTAAGGCCAGAAAAAAAAAGCAATTTCATTTAGCAATTCAAAATATGATCAATATATTACAATGCAGTGAACTCCCTACAAGCCCTCAAACCTGACATAAAAGAATGAAAAAAAAAACTGACATTTTTTTTTTTCAGCTAGGAATCAAGATTTATTCACTTACAGGTAGACTGATTCATAAATGGAAGTATAAAGGTTTACTTCCTGAAAAAGTGCACTGCATTTGTTTTAGGTTTTAAAGATGACATATTATCCTTGCATATAATAAGAAAAAATTCATGGTAACAAAATTATTCAAGTATCAAAAGCCAAAATTTTTTTTTGTATAAGTGAAATACATAATAATGCAATATAGCAGGAGGTGATTCTTTTGTGTTAACTGGTTTCATGATCTTTATGTAAGCAGCAGCATTCTTCTTAAAGAGCAGTATATAGTCTACACACAGGACCTTATATTAATCAAAGATGTCTAGAGTTTATAATTTGAATAAATTGCACATATAATCATTTTTTAGATTTCTGACAAGTATTCAGGGCACAATAAAGCTTGAGCTTGGCATACTTAACTACTATGTAACAGAATGGAAAATTCTCTATTTTGTCATCCTAATTGCTCACACAAGAATCCCCTTTGGAAGAAACTTTCTTTGTGAAAATATGTTTCCTCAATATGGACCCCCCACCTCTCATGTCCAGTCCCCTTGGAGCGAGTGGGTGGTTCCCTGCAGAATGGCTGTCAAGATCCCAGAATGGTTGTCAAGAAAGGGAAATTGCTCTGCATTAGACAAGGGGAAGAATTTGTTGTTTTATCTCTGAAAGGAAAGTAGAGAAGAATGTTGAGGAGAGGGAATGGGAGAGAAGAAAAGAAGAGCTAGCATAATGGAGCAAAGCTGGGATTAGGTAGGGGTGAAGCTCTCAGGTCAAGGGAGGTCTGAAAACGTTTAAGACCGGGGATGCCTTACTAGGAGAGTTGGCTGCATTAATGCAAAGCAAGGCTCACCCCACCTCTATTTGGCCGCCTTTCTTCAGTTAGATATACAAAATCTGCAAATGTCCTGTGTGAATAGGGCCTTTCTAAAACCAGTAAAGAAACCAAGTTTCTCATCTGGGTGTGCTGAGTGCAAATCAGTAGCACAGGGAAAGAATGTACAAAGCCAGGAGACAGAAGAGGATGAGAGATCAGGAAACACACAAGGATGTTTAGGGAGAGCTTAAATCTTCCACACATTCTAGGCTGAAGGGTTGGAGGCAAACTTATTCAGGAAAACTACATGAATGGGGTCTCATAAAGTGTCCCTCTTTCCTTATCCAAATGAGCTAACTTGCAATGTAAGAAAACTAAAAAATTAAAAGTTGTCTTAATTATACTTAAAACCAAGTTATTTTAACTAATTTTAGATGCTCCCCAAAAGTTAACTACAATAGTCTCTTCTATATTAAACGACACCCAGGATATTTAAACAGGGGAGTTTATGCTTACAGCCCTATGAAACAGTTATTAATTTGAAGAATAATGACTTTAATAATGATGATATAGATTCTGAAAATTGGGAAATTATAGTAAGTCAGTTCACTTCTAAAAACTATTAGTAAAACTCCACATATTCAAAAATTTTCCATCTGGGTCCCATATACGTCATTTCAACGACTGCAATATGCTTTGGAATGGGAGTGGCACGGAATTACTGATATATAAAACAAAGCACTGGAGTAGGAACGAAATATAAATGTGGATGACATCTCTTTCAGTGCTCATTTGAAATAAAGTCCCCAAATCACAGGCAGGCATATTCCAAACTTACCTATTAATGAACATACTGATCTCTTGGGCTGTAGGATGTTATCACCATGATGTCCATTTACTAGCAGGAGACCTTACTTAACTTCTCTGAGTCTGTTTCTAATTACCTTCATAGCCCTGGTATGAAAATTAAAGGAGAATGTGGCTAAAATGCTCATACACTGCCTGGCACACAGCCACTGGTTTAGTTTTCTTCATTTAACTTTCTACCCTTAGTTTAGAGGAGTTCCCAGGGCTTGAAAAGGAGAAAAATCAATCTTGGAATGTTACCCAACTAACTTATTCTGACAAATAATAATAATACGAATGAATATGATAGCTATTAACATCTATAAATCCTTTAATGTATGCCAGATATTCATCCAGTACTTCATAGTTATTATTTTTATTCCCATTTTGCAGACAAGGAAATGGAGGCACAAACAAGTTTCATAGATAATAATTGGCAGAATTAGGATTCAAACACATGTTTCTACCCTTTAAGAAATACTAGCCTCGTCTGATTCATAGTGGGGTAGGGAGAGGGAGCATGGGAAGAATAGACGAACTCTAGATAGAGCAGAGACCGTTGGAGGGGAAGGGAGGGGCATGGGGTTAGAAATGATGATGGATTGTGACAGTCATTATTATCCAAAGTACATGTATGAAGACACAAACTGGTGTGAATATACTTAGTATACAACCAGAGATATGAAAAATTGTGCTCTATATTTGTAATAAGAATTATAATGCATTCCACTGTCATATATAAATTTAAAAAATTAATTTAAAATAAATAAATAAGTAACCCATTAAAAAAAATGAAATACTAGCCTCAAGGACTAACATCTAGGTGACAGCAGCAAGGCCCTTCTTTGAGGGTTCACTAATATTATTATAGTCAAATAGGGAATGTTCAGAATTGATCTGCAGAATTGACCTGTTACCTAAAAAATACATACAAATATATAATCTATATAATAATTATGGAGTGACTGGATGGTGGGAAGTAAGCATGGTGTCTTAGAGTTTAAAATGTGAATGGGACTAATAGGTGCATTTTAAATTTTTTTTCTTTTTAATATCCAGTCTCTTCATTCTTTCATCAATATATATTGAGGACCTACTCAGGATTAGGCACTTTTTTAGACATCAAAGATGTTCACAATAGGTAAAATAAGATGCAGTTGCTGGGACTCCATAATTTTACTATCAGCAAGGATTTGTTGGATTTAAGTGTGCTCCTTGACTCAGTCATATGATTTTCCTATCCCAATCTATAAGCTCACAGTAAAATGTCTATGTCAAAAATGTTTCAAGTACACAATTAGATGAATAAGAGCAAAACATACTGATATGGCATTTTATGGCTTTCAAAGTACTTCTACACATATCCCTTGGGGTGCCTCAAGCCAGTACTGAGAGCAGGTAAGGCAGGAATAATAGTCTAGGAAGTGATATCTAATGCAGTCTGACTATTGTGGAGTTGAGACATATTCTAACTGCAAAAGAACCAATGGCTCAAAATCTGAATTTGATGCTCTTTCTACATTTGAATAAAAAGTCTACAAAAATGACTTTTTCCAAAGTCAATGTCATAATTGATTTTTTTAAAAATGAGAAACAATCAGCCATATATAATTAAAGTTAAAATAGGCCAAAAGTATTAGAAGATACCAAAGGCTGAAAAAAAAACTCACACAACTAAATAGAGGAATACTCACACAAATAAAGAAAAATTAATAATGCAAAAAGAAATGTAACATTTTTACATTTCAGTGCACAACATGTACAGCATGAACAAAAGATTCAAGATCTGCTCGTTTTGCTTGTTCTAAGATTTGAAATTATCAGTTTATCATGGGTTTTTTAATAATGGTTTTTAAGTCCAAATTCAGGGCTTCTACATAAGAACTGCAAAATAGACTCATGAATTCCTGTGAAACACAAAGAGTGCTAGTATTGCAGTTACACACTCTGTGGTTCAAAATTATCTAGGTAGTAATAACACTGTTCACTTGACATATGAATTGATTTCTTATGAGCTGTTTATTAAAATGCTTTTTCACCAAAAGACAGAAATTTATGTCAGTTTAAGAAACTATATATTAGAGGGATCATGAACTAAAATCAATTTTCATGCATGTATGAGTTTGTCCGGATGAACCCAACTACTATGTATAAACATTACAATCTAAAAGAGAAAAAAAAGAAATTGTGTTTCTGTGTGTATATTACAGCATACATGAAATAGCCAGCTAGATTGTGACCTTACTGAGGCCAGGGATTATTTTCCACTTATTATTTTCCTGTTGAAACACCATAGTAATAGTACAAAAGACATATTAATATATATTTTGGTCAAATGAATCACCAAGAGATGGTCCCATTTTTATATTTATCTTAAATTTTACCTCTTATATAAAATGATTTCTAACATTTGTAAAGTAGCTTTCTTGCTTTGGCCATATCCTCAGCCCAGAATTTCTAATTTTGATACTGACACGTGTACGCACACACACACATAAACACCTCTTTTTTTTTTGGTATTAGATCAAACCTAGGACCTCTCACATGTTAGGCCAGCATTCTACCACATCCTCAGTCTTTTCATTTTTTTATCTTGAGACAAGGTCTCACTAAGTTGTCCAGGCTGGCCTTGAATTTGCAATCCTCCTGCCTCAGCCTTTCAAGCAAGAGGGATTACAGATGTTTGCCACAGAGCCTGGCTAAAGTACCTATTCTCAATTTAAAACTCATTTACCACAGCAAACTGGAATTTTATCCTCTTTCCACATGTACACTGTCATGTTAGAACAAAACATTTCATCCTTGAGCCTTCTTAAAGAAAAACAATTTGGGATTAATACAATGATATATGATATTCAGAATCCCAGACTGAAATATGGTCAAGTTCCACATTAGAAATTTTCCTCCCTAAATACCTATATGGTGGTTAGGACCAAAAAGGCTTTAGGAATCCATCTGCCATGTTGACTGACTTCCATATCTAAAAAGATACTCGAAGAATCTGTTAATTTAAAGGGGCACAAGAGTATTTGAAAGTGAAAAAGCCTCAGATTTAAAATCATAAGACTTGAGTTTAAGTCCCAGATATTCATTTTTTAACAGTGTGACCTTGGACTACTCACTAATGTCTTAGAATCCCTACATCCTCACCAGTAAAAGGATATAAAATCAGCTCTATTCCCTCGCAAAGATGCTACAAAGGTAAAATAAGAATAAGAACATTATAAACTGGCAAGAGCCATACATGAATTAGTTATTCTTTTTTTTAATATTTGTTTTAGTTATTCTTTCCTTGCTAGCAAAGAAAGAAAAGATTTTAGATTAGTATTCTGAAGAGAAGACACACCAATATTCAAACATTCCATGAGTTCTAGGGAAAGCTGGGATAAAAAGAGCCAGATCACCCAGAATTGAAAGAATTCTAAAATGTGTTTGGTATCCAGTTCTTGATTTCAATTGAAGATGTAGTCTTAACTAAAAGCTTATAAGGACTAGTGGACATAAGATTTTTGCCAGATTGGGAATTCTTTCTCCCCAAATAAGATGACCTAAGAACTTTGGCTTAATATGCTTGCATTCTTCCCAATCATCCAAGATAAATGCAAACAAAAGAATACCAAATCCTATTTAGTCTGGAGAGCAGCCATGTCAGCCTCAAAATCACCTTCACACAGCACACATCACAGTTGCTATTTCATCACTCTGCCTAAATGTAATCTTGTTTTTAATAGCATGCCCTTTTATTTGTTTATTTTTATGCGTTGCTAAGGATCGAACCCAGATCCTCACATGCGCTAAGCAAGAGCTCTACCACTGAGCCACAACTCCAGCCCTTCAAACCATTTTAAAACATTAATTCTGTCATTATCAAGCACTTCTTATAAATACTATAAGACAATTTTGGAAACCCAGAGCAACAACTTCAATGGTGAGAGAATATTTATGAACATTTATCATACACCCACTACACACTACACCCCACGCTGTTTGAGGTGTTTTCACCTATACTTGTTCGTTTGCTTTCCACACTGAGAGAGATGTCAGGTGCATTTTACAGATGAAGAATGAAGAAGGGTCAGATTGGTTAGTAAGTGACTAGCCTATGATCACACAGCCAAGGAAACAGCAGCATCCAGGCTCCAGAGAATTGCGTTGTTAGCAAGGAATGTGAGATTAAATAGTTTTGTGCCCATGGTAAAACTTAATTGGCAGTTAGCTTTGTTCAAGAAGTTCCTGAACAAAAACAGTTTTTAAGTGTTAAACATTAAGTGTTAAACAAAAACAGTTTTTAAATTTAAACATAAAGACTTGTCACTACAGTTAGTTGTTTTCATGGGAAAACCCGCAAAGAAAACACTAATTTACTAAATAAAATCAATAACTGTTTTTATAAAGATTATCTCTTCGAGATCATTTCTAAGTAGGCATCAAAAATTACCTGCATCTCACAAACATGAAAATATTTCAAATAAGAATTTTAAATACTATATTTTTTAAAATGCTTCCTCTAATCAAAGCTCTTCCTTTAAAATTAAAATGTTAACTCTAACCTGTATATTGCTATTCACTCTAGTAAATTGTTTTTCCTGAAAAATCCCCATTTAAAAAAACACCTAATATTTTTAAAATAAACATTCTAAATAGGTTCTAAAACAGACAATAATAAAGGTTGAGATAAAATTTCTGAACTACTTATCTGAACCAGGTAATGAGAAGCTAGGGGTATATAGATAAAATCTAAAGTCTATAGAGCTTCTCAACTAAAAGATTCCAGCAGAAATAATTTAACACTTGATGGCTACACTGTTATTTGGTTAGAGTATTTGGTTATGTACTTATTTTTTGTTGTGAATACAAGAAAGTTGTGGAAGAAGAAAAACAAATTAATAAGTTATTTGATTCAACAAGACAAAGAAGGCTAAAACCCAAGGGCATGTTGAGCGGAAGCCCTGAGCAAACTGAACTGTCCATCAGAAAAACTCAGAATGCCTCTGAAAGGGGGATCAGAAGGTAGGGCTGGAAAGACAGAGAGAGAGAGAGAGAAAGAAACACTCCAGTCTGATTCCCAGCAGCTACTGGGCAGAAAATGGGAGTTCTACTCTCTAAAAAGATTAGTAAATAGACTATGAACTTAGGAACAACTAGGGGCAACCCACCTGTCTAAAAAATATTGGAATTAAGACAAAGCCGATATTCTGAAGGTGTCCCCACTCAGCCCCCAAATGCTGCAGTCAGATTGATAAGCCATGTCCAAGAGAAAAACTACATTTATTGACTGCTAGCAGGGCCGTCTCTAAAAAGTTGGGTTCCTGACTAATCACCTCATAATGAAGACTACCAGGCAGGGAACCATGGCACACACCTGTAATCCTTGCTACTTGGGAGGCTGAGGCAGGAGGATGGCAAATCATGCAGCCTCAGCAATTTAGTGAAACCTGCCTCAAATTTAACAAATGGAAAGGGCTGGGAGTATAACTCAGTGGTGGAGTGCCCCTGGATTCAATCCCCAGTACCACAATAATAATAATAACTACCACCACTAACTTTCAGAATTTGCACTTTGGCAAAGTCAGCTTTCGGTTTTTCAGAGGCTCACTCCTGAATATGTGTAAAAACCTCTGTATATTTAAAGAAACTCCCTAAATGAAAGACCAAAACAAATAAATAAAGGTATTTTAAGGAAATTGAGAGAGTAAAGGAAGCTGAATAAACTTTTTAAAAACTTAAAACAAAAAAAAAAATACAAGAGTATTAAAAAGTAACATTCAGATAAAAAAATGTAAAATGACAGCAGAAATATAGAACTAATTAGAAGGCCAAGACACTTATCAGAAAGTAAACCAAGAGACAAACAGATGGAAAATATAAAAGATGAGAAAATTATAGAACTTTTCAGTCCAGAAGTCCCAACACAGTAAGTTTCAAGACAGATCTGGTGGTGCAGGCCTGTAATCCTGGCAACTCAGGAGGCTGAAGAAGGAAGATGGCAAGTTTGAGCCCAGCCTCAGCAACTCAGTGAGGCCCTAAGCAACTTGGCAAGACCCTGTCTCAAAATAAAAGATAAAAAGGACTGGGGAGGGGCTGGGATTGGAGCTCAGTGATAGAGCGCTTGCCTAGCATGCGTGAGGCACTGGGCTTGATCCCTGGTACCATATAAAAATAAACAAATAAAATTTTTAAAAAAAGTATTATGTCCATCTACAACTAAAAAAAAAAAAAAAAAAAATCTCAGTACCAAAATAAACAAGTTCCAGAGAGAAAGAATAGGGGAAGCTAAGGGTAAGACAGAGGAGAAAAAGATCAGTTAAAATTTAAGAAAATCTCCCAGAAGTGGGGGAAAAAAAAAATGTTTCTAAATTGAAAAGGCCCTCAGAATTCCCAGAATAACAGATACAATAAGGCCCAGAGTGAATCAGGTTACCATAAAATTTCATAACATCTCTAGGGAGGCAAAAAGAATCAAGAATCAGAATAGCATTAGACTTCTCATTGGGAGCAACAGAAGGTAGACGTCAACAGAGCAATGACTGTTGAACTCAGAGAAAATAATCTTCAATCTAGAATTCTATAACCAGGAAAACTATAAATCAATGATTAGGTAATTTTTTCTTAAATGAATAACTTTCGTACCTGCAGATTTACAAACAATGTACATCCCATGCATGGTTCCCTCCAGAGCTTCTAGAAGAGGTGGATCCACAAAATTAAGTAGAAATGACAAAGGAGGAAGATAGGAGGTCCAGAAACATTGGGGTTGGGAATGGTGCCGTTTTCAACATAGGAAGGCAAAGGAAATACCTAGGACATGGGGGAAAGTAGATCCCAGGATGAGAACTATGCAGCTCTAGAGAACAGCCTATCATAAAATTTCTGAACAGGGCTGGGGATGTAGTTCAGTGGTAGAGTGCTTGCCTAGCACATGTGAGGCTTGTCTAGCACTGTGTTTGATCCTCAGCACCACATAAAAATAAATGGGTAAAATAAGGATATTGTGTCCATCTACAACTAAAAAACAGTTTTGAAAAATTTCAGAACAATCGGTTTGCTTCACATTTTGGTCAGAAATGAAAACACATTTAAAAAAAAACTATATTGCATCCTTAGGGAAAGGAAGCACATATACTTCATGCCTGTTGGAACAGGTGAAGATCATTCTGAGTCAGTCACTGACCCATTTCTGAAGACTGAAACAAGAGCAGAACCTACGCACAAACCAGAAACAACTGCTGCCCAGCTTCCTCTAAGACCCCAACAACTGACATCTGAATTACAAAATATGCTGTTCTCTATATCTCCAAATACTTTCAAAATTAAGAAAGCTATATTTTCTATTGCCTTTTCATAGCAAAATGAGGGATAAAGTATTTGCTATCATCCACTAATAATAAAGGAGTATTAAAACCATACTTATTAATCACATGTTAGGGTCATTGTGAGAAGGCAGATAGAAGGTGTGGCTTGTTATTTACTCCATTTTCTGACATCTAAGTAAACTGCAAACACAGAAATAGCAAATTCTGGTTTTGTTTGTTATTTTTTGACATTCTATTCATTTCTGACCATGGAATTTTTTTTTAAAGCTAAACCATACCAAAGCTACCTTGGTAAACACATTTGCCCCCCCATTTTTCAGCATAAATGAAGATAAGAATAGATTACTAGCAAAGTATTTTAACTACAGCATACCAATAGTTTTTAAATAGAATGTTAAACATCTTTTTGTTTCATGGTCTCCTAAAATCTGGAATAAAAATTTACTTTATGCTCTGTTTAAATTTTCTTTTGTTTTTGTTTTTGAGATGGGAGGGGGGTCTCAAAATATTGCCCGATCTGACCTTGAATTTGTAGGCTCAAAAGATGCTTGTTTTAGCCGGGCACGATGTCACACACCTGTAATCCCAGCAACTCAGGAGACTGAGGCAGGAGGACTGTGAGTTCAAAGCCAGCCAGCCTCAGCAACTTAGCAACTCCCTGTCTCAAAATAAAACATAAAAAGGTTAAGAATATGGCTCAGTGGTGAAGCACTCCTGGGTTCAATCCCTGGTACCAAAAAAAAAAAGAGAGAGAGAGAGAGAGAAAATCCTTGTTTTAGTCAGTTTTGCATTGCTTCTACCAAAGTAACCTGACAAGGACAACTTATAGGAAGGAAAGTTTATTTGGGGCTCATGGTTTCAGGTTTCAGTGCATTGCTCTGAGTCCCAAAATGAAGCAGGACATCATGGCCAAAGAGCAAGGCCAAGGAAAGTAGTTCACCTAAAGGTGGCTAGAAAGGAGACAGAGGGAGAGAAGGGCCATAGGGAAGAGGCTGGAGGAGGGAGGAATTGGGTATATCTGTAGGCGGTCGATCTGCTTTCTGATCACCATGTAAGCTGCTTCCCTCTGCCACACTCTTATGCTATGATGTCCTGCATCACCTTGAGCTCCACGGACTTGGACTTCTGAAACCGTGAGCCCCCATATAAACTTTTCCTCCTGTTCTGGTCAGCTCCTTTAGTCACAGCAGCAAAATAGCTGACTAAAACAGCCACATTTTAGTCCACAGATAAGACATCTTTTTTCATGGTTTTCAATGGTAAAACTATTACTTTATGAAGGAGGAAGTCTCTTTATTTGCTTGGTTTAATTTTCCCCCAAAGATATTTCAACTGCTCAGGAACTTCTCACCAGATTTATGTTTTCTTAAGGATTTCACAAGCAGACTGCTGGCTGCCGCTGTAGGTGTTGCAGCTAATATGCTCATTACACCACCCTGCTAACGAAAACTGATTAACATGCAATGTGACTGTCTATCCCACATCCCCTGGGCACAGAAAAAGAATGGCATTTTCCAAAAAAAAAAGGTATTTGTCTCCTCTCCCCTTTTAAACACGAAATGACACAAATCCTAAATGTTAACTTGTATATATAATATTGATAAAGAAAACTAATAGCAATGTATAAGATATTATATGCCTAATAAGATAAATTGCAAACTTTAGTATTTCAAAGTTTAATAGTAAGTGTCAATAGGTAGGAAGATCCAAAAGTGAAGAATAAGAATATTTAGGCCAACCACCAATATTATTTGAAAAACTTTAAACTACATGATCTGGCCAGCCATGGTAGTGCACACCTGAACTCCTAGCACCTCAGGAGGCTGCGGCAGGAAGACTACCAAGTTCAAGGCCAGCTTCAGCAATTTAGCAAGGTCTTAAGCAATTTAGCAAAGCCTATCTCAAAATAAAAATAAAAAGGGCTTGAGATGTGGCTTAGTGGCAGAGCACCCTGGGTTAAATCCCTAGTACCAAAACTACATGATCTGTCAGTGGGGTCAATGGAACCATCACTGTACATGATAAAAGGTAACAGTAATTTACACTGGCTTACAAAAGATAATATAATTCTCAATGGGTGTTACTGTCTGCTGAAAACTATTCACACATTTTATATGCATTATTTAAGTGATTCCTCACAACCATCCAATAGACTAGGTACTAATTATTATCCCATTTTACAGATCATTTTTTGAATCAAATGCAGATTTCTCTACCATTACCTTTAAAACCTCCACCAATTGGCCTAAACTTCTACTATATGCCCTCTTTCTGCCATTTCAGTCCTCATTTCTGACTCAAAACCTTGACTTAGTATTCATATAAATGAAACAGCTCTTTACTTGGCTGATCTCTTTCTTATCTACTACTACAGGAAATTCTTTCATAAAAATGTTCTCAGTTAAATGACCCATCCTGTGCTTGTTAAAATTAAGCACCAAAAGTATACAGAGTAAAAAGTGAACTTAACATTTTACAAAAAAAAGGAGTATTCTATATTGTTCTACAACATGACCCTCTCTTTTTTTTTTTTCTTTCTTTCTTTTTTTTTTTTTGGTGGTACTGGGGACCAAACCCAGGAACTCATGCATGCTAGGCAAGCATTCAACCACTGAGCTACATTCCCAGCCCTTTTTTTTTTTTTTAATATTTTTAGTTGTATCAAGAGCTTTGTAATGTTTTGAACAACCAATAAAAAAATAAAAAAATATATTTTTAGTTGTAGATGGACACAATACCTTTATTTATCTTATGTAATGCTGAGGATTGAATCCAGTGCTTCACACATGCTAGACAAGTGCTCCACCACTGAGCTATAACCCCAGCCCTTTTTAAATTTTTATTTTAAAACAGGATCTCATTGACTGGCCTCAAATTTATAACCCTCTGGACTCAGCCTCCCTGGTAGCTGGGATTACAGGCATGTACCAGTACCTGGCTATAATGTAACTTTTTAAAATAAATCAATGGCATCTTTCCACATGAACAAATAGAGATCTATGCATCTGGAAAAGCTAAATGGTGTTCTGTGTGGACCTATCATACGTTGTTTAATTAATCTCTGACTGACGAACATCATCTGTTATAACCAGCAATGCTGGAAAGAAAAACTTTATACTCCTATTTTTCACACAAGTGTATGTTATTTAGGACAAATTCCTAGAAGCAGATATGTACATTTTAAATTCCAACAGACATTGCCAAATTTACTTCCAAGAAAACTTATATCCCTGCCAATGTCCCTACATCCCATCCACTATTAACTAACATCAATTTTTTAAATTTTCCTCAATCTGATAAGTAAAAAGGTATAATTACATATTTCATTTTATACTTATTTAAATGATTGGGATTACTGAATTTAGAGGTCAGGTATATTTTGAATTTATTATTAGTTGTACACTAAGCTAAACTGCCTATGGAGAAAAAATTCAAAAATCACATTAACAGTATGTTTGGGAAGACTGTTAATGTCTAATCAATTTGGGTTTTGAGCACAATGATGCCAACTAAAAATGAGACAGATGTCTTAAAATACACTTGAAATACATTGCTATAAGCTCTTCAGAGCTATGACATACACTGTAGAAACATTTCTTTTAATACATATAGCACATGGATAGTCATGTATTCACTTTCTCAATTGCATTTACAACACCCCTCTGATTAGTTCACTTTGACAATATTTCACTTTTTTTATATACAGTGTTGTTTATTAATATGACATTTGACCTCTTTAGATGTTACAAGGTACAAGGTACAATTGGTACTCAGCCATGGGCATCCAATAAAAATAAGACATAGGTGGCTGTATTAGAATATAGAAAAAGGAGAGAGAGTAAGAGAAGTAAATGTTAGCAAGAGCCACATGAATGTTCTAGACATTCTGGTTTATAAAAACAAAACACCAGCACAGCACCACATACTCTATAAATGCATGTATAAATGAGATGACTTTTGTGCCTGAGTGCTGATTCACTGTAAAGGGCTCCACGTCTATTGACTATAATGCTATTAGCAATGACGGCTGAACTGAGCTATTCACACATTTTCTTACCTGATTTTCTTTGTGGCCATCTCCAGGTAACAAATTTTGTCAAGGAAAATTTAATTAGCTCTAACAGGAATTCTGACCTTATTATCCTGATAAATTAGTAGCCACAACTGTAAAAATAAGTACTACACAAATTATCTGGCATTGTAGAACATTTTGGATTCAAAACAAACCAGTAAAATTCTATCTACCTTTACTTAGTAATTTTCAACTGAAATTCATATTCACAAAACAAACTGATCCTTAATACTATTTAAAAGTCAAATGCCCTTGCTGTTTTAATATGCCCACATGGCTCATCCAAGTGAACATATGACAGATGCTACACATCTTTCCCACATCAGACTGAAGAGAGAGCAGGAGACAGGAAAGAACAGGACCCCAATGTGACAAAATGCTAAAACCAAGCTATAAATTATCTTCTGGTCACTCTCAGCTGTATTTTGAAAAATCTGACACAAAGGTAGGACCTCCCCTTCCTTTGGAGAGATATGGAGTGTTATAGAAAAGCATCTCCTAACTAGCAAAGGACTGCTGTCCCATCAATCACACAACTTCCCCAGCAAGAGAAACACTGCTGGATGGGTTCTAAAAACAATGCCTGGGTCTTCACATTCTGATGGGAGGGAACAGTGAAGACCAGCTTCCTGGGCTCTAAACTATGCCAGACTGCCCTGCTAATCCTCCCCAAATCCCACAATGTGGGGGTGGGGGTGGGGGACAGAATTGAAAACCCCAAACTGAATCAAGGGCAACAGCTCTAGGTTACAGAAGGTCCTAATATTCCTGTTTGCAGAGGAGATGGTGGAGATGGGGAAACACATACACAAAAGCCTTTAAAAACACAATATAAAAATGCATTTTATCCCTGATCCTTCGATGTGCTAACCAACATCTGCCCCCAATCATTTGCCAGCCCTGGATGCATGGAAGGCATGGAGTAGCAGGCATTTTCACACAGTGAGGCTGGAAGAGATGCTACTAGAGTGTAAATTACTAATTAGCTCAAAAGAAGACAAAGAGAGAAAATACCTGTCACAGAATGGTGTTTACAACTTGACATATAATAAAAACAACCCTGAACATTTCAGAAGAGTGAAATTTCCAGACTTCTATTAACATGTGAATGGAAAAGGAACAGTATTATAGTCTTTAAAAACTGCCCATGTCTCAGAAACAATAACGCATGACTAGAAACAATGCTTTCCAAATAATTTGTAATTTTCTCGTCCCTATGAAAGGGAAGTGTTTTTAATTATTACAATCAGCTTTAATAAGGAGCTATATTTCATAGCTTGATAATAACTTAAACAGGGAGAGAAAAGGAAAAGCAGCCCACAAGTATTGTATTTTACATTTGTCAGAATACTGCTAATATTCCTTTTGCTTAAATTGGACAAGCCTTTCTGTAGATCACAACTTTATCAAATAGATAGGCTATCATTTTAATTAAGATTTGTAGATGACTGGAGCTGGGTCAGTTAATTTCCTTATATGACATCAATCAAAAAGACTCAAAAATTTAGATTTTTGAAGGCAGGCATGGAATGTTAAGATATTTCTATTGATCCTCTCCTTAT